GGCATGCTGGGAAAAGCCACCGCCTGTAGCACCAGCATTCCATATGGTTGTTAGCTCATGTACAAGCTGCTGCTCCACTTCTGATCCAACTCCCAGTTATGCACCTAGGAAAGCAGCAGAGGATGACTCAAGTCCCTGTGTCCCTGTACCCACATGGAAGCTCATTAGAAACTTCTGGTTTCTGGTTTCAGCCTGACCCAGCTCTGGCTGTTTTCAGCATTTGAGGAGTGCACAAGCAAGTGGAAAACCTCTCCCTCGCTGCCTCTCCTTCTCCCCCTCTGTCACTCTTTCAAATAAACAAACTATTTTTTCTTAAGGTTTATTTATTTTTATTTGAAAGGTAGAGTTATACAGAGAGGAGAGACAAAGGTATTCTCCATCCATTGGTCTGCTCCCCAGATGGCTGCACCTGCTAGATCTGAGCCGATCCAAAGAGCCAGGAGTTTCCTCCAAGTTTCCCACATAGGTGCAGAGATCCAAAGACTTGATCCATCTTCTGCTGCTTTCTCAGGCCATGAGCAGAGAGCTGGACTGGAAGTAGAGCAGCCAGGATATGAACTGGCACCCACATGAGATACAGGCACTACAGGCAAATTACACCATGGTACCTGCCCCAAAATAAATATTTTTTAAAAGACATGAGCTATGCAAATGGTAATCATAAGGGGGTTTGAGTAACTATACTGATGTCAAACAAAATAGCCATTAAAACAGGAATTCTTATGAGACAAAAACATTTTATGTTAAAAGATCAATACATCAGAAAACTATATGTAATTATAAACATGAACCAAAATAGTGACGAATACATGAAGCAAAAAATGACAGTATTGAAAGGAAAAACAGTCAATACAAGTCTGAACTGTTAGAACAAGAGAGAAAATCAGTAAAAATACAGGAAGCCACAACACAATCTCAAAACATCAGAACAGGTTAAAAATACACAAAGTATGTTTTCACATGGACTCAAACAAGGCACTGCAAACATCTGGAAAATAAACAATGTGTCTCTAAATAGCACAGGGCCCAAAACAGAAATCACAGAGGCTATTTTAAAATGTTCTGAATGAATGAAAACAAAAGCACAATAAACCAAATTTGTTCAGTGCAAAGGGTACACTGCATTGCATTCAACAACATTAACATAAAAAGGGAAAGATTCAAATCAATTGCCTAGGTTTCCATCTTAAGAAATTAGAAAAAGAAAAAATTAAGCACAATGCAAGCAGAAAAAAAAGGAGTAATAGAAAGTTGAAATCAATGAAACAGAAATATATTAAAAATTAATAAAACCCAAGTTGGTTCTTTAAAACACTCAAAGACTAAGTATTTTTTAAATGCAAGTCTCACTGCCATGTATGCATAAAGAGCAATCTTTCAAAACCACAACAAACTTTGTGATATAAACTTACAAGCTAATCTTAAGTTTTACGCCAAGAAAAAATTTTTATTTTGATTTTACTATTAGATTTTACATTATATACAAGAAAAGAACCTAACCAATATTGAGAAGAACAAAGTAGGAGTGCTTACATGCTCCGATGTCAAATGCACCATCAAACCAGAAAGCAAAACACCACGGCACTGGCATAAGGGAAACCACGCACACCAGTGGAATCCAAAAATAAATCCTTGCAATTCAGCCAACTGATTTTCTACAAAGGGACAAATGGGGAAAGGGCATATTTTCCTTGGATATCAAACGAGAAAAATAAAATCTTAGACCACCTCCTCCCATACCACACCATCTACAAAAAACTAACATAGGGTAGAACATGGAGTTAAACATAAAAACTGAACATTTTGAAGAAAACCTCTGTGACTGGAGCTAATAAGCGATTCTCAAAACAAAAGACCAAAACTATCACCTGTAAAAGAAAAAAGTCGATGCTGAATTTCACTGAAATGAAAAACATTTGTGCTTCAAAAGACAGCACGAGGAAAATGAAAATGGAAACCACTTACTGGGAAAAAGATATTTACTAATCACGTATGTGATAAGGGTCTCGTATCTAAACCTCCTAATAAGCTTGCAAAGCTCTCATTAGTAAGACAAATAACCTAAATGAATAACAGCAATAACCCAATTGAAAAATGGGTGCTGATAAAAACTACAACCTGGAGGAACTTTAAAAACACACTAGTGAAATAAGTCCAATGCAAAGGAACAAATGCTGTATAATTCTGCTTACAACAGGGAGCTAGAACGTGCAAACTCAGAGAGAAGGAAAACAGAATAGAGATGACGAGGGGGACTGCGAGTTATTATTTGATGGGAATAGAATTTCTACTGAGGATGATCAATGAGTTTTGGACATAGTCAATAGTGATGAATGTACAACATTGTAAGTGTACTTAACGTTACTGAATTACCTACTTAAAAGCGATTAAAATAATAATTTACCACCAAGAAAAAATGTAATTTGTAACAAAAATGGGCAAAAGACTTGAATATACATTTCACCAAAAAAAAAAATACATACAAACAACCAATAATTATACAGATGCCACTACACATCAGCTAGAATGACAATAAGCCAAAAGATAGGTAATGGCAAGCGTGGGGGAATCTGGAAGCCTTCCGTATTGCTGATGGCCTTGTAAAATGGTAGAGCCACTCAAACAGAAGTTTACTACATGACCCAGCAATTCCAATCTTATTAATTTACCTGAAAGAAATAAAAATGTGTTTCCCTTGGGCCCGGCGTGGTGGCGCAAGTGGTTAAGGTCCTCGCCTTGCACGCCCAGGATCCCATATGGGCGCCGGTTCTAATCCCGGCAGCCCCGCTTCCCTTCCAGCTCCCTGCCTGTGGCCTGGGAAAGCAGTCGAGGACGGCCCAAAGCTTTGGGACCCTGCACCCGCGTGGGAGACCCGGAAGAGGTTCCTGGCTTCGGATCGGCATAGTATCGGCCCGTTGCACTCACTTGGGGAGTGAATCATCGGACAGAAGATCTTCCTCTCTGTATCTCCTCTCTGTATATCTGCCTTTCCAATAAAAAATAATAAAAATAAATCTTTTAAAAAAAAATGTGTTTCCAAATCAAAGGCTTGTCCACAAACATTGAGAGCAGCTTTACTGATAATAGCTAACTACTGAAAAACATCCAAACATTCAACAATTAATGAACGGAAAACCATCAACTACAGATCTCTGATACATGCTGGCACCTGGCTGAATGACAAGTAAAAGATTCCAGGTACAAAAGACCCCATATGGAGCAGTTCCATCTACATGAGAGGAACAAAACAGAACAAGTGACCAAGACAGAAAGTAGATGAGCCACTGCCTTGCAGGAGTACAAGTAGGGACTGCCTGCATACAGTCAACTGGGGAACAGGAAGGGGGGAGTAACATCCCCAAACTAACTTTTGTTGATGATGGTACACAATTCTACAAATTACTAAAAGGTGATTTAACTGTACACTTACAATGAGTGGATTTTTCTAGTACTCAAATTATATCTCGATAACTCTGTCCAGGAGCTGATACTGTGGTGGGCAGATCAATCATACTGACATCCCATGCTGGAGTTACCGAAGTACCTGTTCCTCTGTTTCTGATCCAACTCCCTGCTCACGCACCCGGGGAAAACAGGAGGTGACAGCCCGAAGAGTGGGTCCCTGCCATCCATGTGGGAGATCCAGATGGAGGTCCAGATGCCAGGTTTGGACCTGGCCAGTCCAAGCCCCAGCCACAGTCATTGTGGCCATTTAGCAGGATGAAACAGTACTATGGAACATTTCTCTCAGTCTCTTTCTTTCCTTACAAATAAATAAATACATCTTTAAAAGATAACATTTAAAAAAATAATGAATTCAAACAGCGGGTGTTACAGCACAGTGAGGTAAGTTGTTACTTGAGATGCTGGCATCCCATATCAGAGTGCCAGGTTCGAGTCCTCTTTACTCTTCTTCTGACCTAGCTTCCTGCCAATGCACCTGCAAAGCAGCAGGTGCTGCCTCAAATACCGGAAGCCCTGGTGCCTCTTTTGCAGACCTGGATGGAGCTGCTGGCTCCTGGCTTCAACCTGACCCAGTCCTGGGCTGCTGCAAGCATTTGGAGAGTGAACCATGAACCACTAAATGAGAGCCCCCTCTCTCAATGTCCTTTCTCTCTTTCCTTTTCCCTTCCCCTCCCCTCCTTCTTTGCCAGATTTCCTCTCTCCCTCCTTCTTTCTGTTATTCTGCCTTTAAACAATTCAATCTTCTAAACAATTCAAATCTGACAGTGGATTAAAAAAAAGGCAACTTAATTTCAAGAAGCATTTTGACATACGCCCCACGATGAGAAACGAAGGTTTTCCATAATATCTATCTTTAATCTGTATATCTAATAACCACACATGGAAGACATTAATACGGCAGGGTGGGAGAACGTGGGCCCCAGAGCAGTGAAAGCTTTCTGAACTAGAACGTGCGCTCCCTGGGAGTGCTCAGCCAGGAACAGCCAAGTGACAGATTCCAAAAATAGATAATATTAGCCTTAGATCAGACCCATTTCAGGGGAAAATAGGGCAATAACAGAGGAGTCTGAGAAGCGATTCAGTTTCTAAATTGCTTGAATGACAAACCGTGTTACACGCCATCATTATGACCTAGAAACATTTCATCCAAAGAAGCAAAGACTGACCTGGTAATTGATCTAACGGCTATCTTCAAAGACCTGAAGGGTTTTAGAGGAAACTATTTGAGTAGCTCCCTCTCCCCCTTGCTCTCTCTTGTTCTCCGCCGAGAGCCAAACAAAGCAAAATGATTTTAATCATCAGCAACGCAAATTTAGATTGAGCCATAAATAACATCAAAAGTAACTGCTACCGAATACTGAAATAAACTTAACTGGGATCTTTGTGCAAATCGTTGCCTTGGCCTTCGTTAGGAAGAAATGAGACAGGCAGGCTGGGGCTGAGCGTGCTCCTGTCTGGCAGGGGGCAGTCAGACCTGGGGCGGCTCCGGCCAGGCTGCAGAGCAGCACAGCGGCCTCACCTCACACTCCCCTTACCTCGATATCCCGGTTCAGCTGCTTCACTATGGCGGTGATGTTCCTGATGTGCTCCTCCAAGAACAGCCTGGCCAGGCGGTCGCCTCCCCCCTTGTTCTGCATCTTTTGCAAGCTGTTGACGATGTCGTCTTTGATGCGGAAGGCGTGCTCCACGAGCGCGGCCGTCGTCTTCTCATGGCACAGGATCCTGTCTTCCAGCTGCTCCACGAGGCTCACGGATGAGTAGGGTGCCACGCTCAGCGACTGGCTGTGTCGGGGCATGGTTCTAACTCGCCTGCGGGAGGGGATCACATGAGGGCTGGGGACTGTTCCCTGGGAACAAGAGTAGTTCTTTTTTTTTCAAATGCAAGACACCCCAGACAGGAAAATACAAATGAGCTGTCCCTATCAGCTAAGGGGGTGTGGTTCAGGGTTTCTACCCAAAAGAACCAGACAGTAGCTTTTAAATAACTGTGTCCATTCTCTTAATATTCCCTTAAGAGTTCTGGAGGCAGGTTCTATAGCGAGAATAGGGCCCACAAATGTCTCCCCCAGTGTAAGCAACATCAGGCTTTCTAGCAGTATGCCATGGCATGCCCCTCCCCGCAGCCCAGAAGCAGTGCTGCAAGCTCCTACATGGACAGGACCCTGCAGCTGACAGAAATGACTGGTGTTTGATGGGCGACTTTGGAGAACTGGGAAGGGCACTGTCCCGCTAAAGGACACTCTTCAGTGACCACATGAGAACGCAAGTCCATTTTGCCACATCATCTTATGTTTCAGAAAGAGCCAGGAAATCCAGACTTGTAGGGACAGGTGTCTGATTTTATTTACTTATTTTTTAATTTTTTTTGCCTGATTCTTGAGAGTTTGCAAGATCACGGAGGAAAAGCACTGCCTTCCAAGAACCAATTCTGGCCTGAGGGCAACTTGGTTTGCAGCTGGTTACTTCAAACAGTTAACAATACACTACCCTCAAGCCTCTAGAAGCTGGACTTTCACCGTTATGGTCAATGTCCTACGTGGCCACACCTGACATCTCTACGTCTTGAGGTCACTGAATGGGCTGTGGTGTTCTACAGACTGGAAGCTGGGAGAGGGGGCCCCAATGACACTGCCTGCCCTTGAACAAAGCCATTTTTGACAATGCGACCGCCACAAGGGTTCCTTTCAAATGACCATCACACTCTCCCTCCCTCGCCTCTAGCAGCCCGCACAGGATTGGTGGAAAAGAAAAGTATACCTTAGATGCATATTTTCCATATATTATACCTTTCCTCGGTGACAAGAGAAGGAAATACAGTGCTCCGTTGGGCCATTTTCTTTTTAATAATTCACATCTGTTGAAAAAACACGCATTCAATTATTTAACAGCTAGTATCTAGAACTTGACCTCAAAAGCTTATTAAGTTACTAAAATGGTTCATAAGTTTTATGGACATGCTGATCTATCAGATTATTAAATGTCTTATGTCTTCTACATGACATAAAAAAGCAAATGTTTCCAAATATAAATTAAAAAATAGAGACACGACAAATTCAAAGTGCTTCTAAAGTTAATACTATTAAATCTTGATACAGAAAATCAGTACAGCTTGCTCATCGGCATTCCCCGAAGTTCCCTCCCTGAATGTACACTCAAGCTTGGAAAAGCATTTTTTATAGAGACGAAGTACAAGTACTGGCATTGTGGCATAGTGGGCTAAGCTGCTACTTGCGATGCCAGTGTCTGAAAGGTGTGCCGATTCGAGTTCCCTGCTGCTCCACTTCCCACCCAGCTCCCTGCTAAAGCGCCTTGGGAAAGCAGCAGATAGGCCAAGTGCATGGGCCTCTGTACCCACATGGGCGGCTAATATGAGGAATCAACGCTCCTGGCTTATTATTTCACATCTGGGTCTAGCCCCAGATATTGTGACCATTTGGGGGAGAACCAGTGCGTAGAAAACTCTTTGTTGGTAACTCTACCTTTAAAATAAACAAATAAATCCTGGCGGGGAAAAAAAATAAAATACTTCCTTTATGTGGCTTATTCCATCTCCCATTTCTGCAGGGAACAACCTGAGTCAATCTGATCTCAGGAAATTTAGCAAAGTCTACAGCAAAGCTAGAAAGTATTTCTAAATCCATCTTCAATAACAGTAACAAATTTAAAAAAAAAAAACTTGATCAGTGGGGCTGTGACTGGGAAGAACCCATGTATACACAAGAGAAATCAGAAACATGGTTTTCATTAAAACTTGATTATGAGCTCAATGTGATGGTTCAGTGGCTAAAACCCTCACCTTGCAAGTGCCAGGATCCCATATGAGCACCAGTTCTAACCCCAGCAGCTCCACTTCCCATCCAGCTCCCTGCTTGTGGCCTGAGAAAGCAGTAAAGGACAGCCCAAAGCCTTGGGACTCTGCACCCACGTGGGAGACCCGTAAGAGGCTCCTGGTGCCTGGCTTCAAAAAAGCTCAGCTCTGGACGTTGTAGATACTTGGTGAGTGAACCAGTGGATGAAGATCTTTCTGTTTCTCCTCTCTGTAAATCTGCCTTTCTAATAAAAAATAAATTCTTCTTTAAAAGAACTGAATTATAAAATATAGTCACTCACTTTTCAATCAGTTACATTTTTGCATAGAAGGATTCGATTGCCACCACTGGTTAGAAATCTGAATAATACTGCAGGATTTTGGGCCCAGCGCAGTAGCCTAGTGACTAAGATCCTCATCTTGAATATGCTGGGATCCCATATGGGTGCCGGTTCTAATCCCAGTGGCCCCACTTCCCATGCAGCTCCTTGCTTGTGGCCTGGGAAGGCAATGGAGGACAGCCCAAACTCTTGTGACCCTGCATCCATGTGCAAGACTCAGGGGAAGCTCCTGGTTCCTGGCTTCAGATCAGTGTAGTTCCGGCCATTATGGCCACTTGGGGAGTGAATCATGGATGGAAGACCTTTCTCTCTGTCTCTCCTCCTCTATATATATCTGACTTTGTAATAAAATAAATAAATCTTTTAACAAATATTGCAGGCTTTTAAAAATACTTGGTTTCTTTGGGTTTCTCAGTACTGCTGTTGATTGATTTAAAACACCCCTCGCCTGGCAACCTGGATCAGATTCAGCCATCAGTCCTGACCTAGCCACTGAAGCCCCAGGCCGCTTCTCACTGCTACCGTTGTGTTGGCACCATCTTATCAGTGCTTTATTTTTAGAGTTGCAACATATGAACATTTCACCTTCCTAGACAAAGAGCTTCAAATTTCAAAGAGATTACATTTTGTGGGTTGGGGGAGGAGTAAGTTCATGCCACACAAGCATGGTAAACCAACAAGTGTTTCAGCACCAAAGAGATGTCTGATGTCTGATCAATAACAGGAAGCCAGGATGGGGCACGCTATCATTTAGAATCTTAGCAGTTGTAAAGCTGTCAGACAGCTCAAGTTGAGACGTTCTAAAGAACCTTTATTCCGGGGTGATTACAGTGGTGCAGTGGGTTCTGCTGCTTCAGGTTAAGCCTCGAAAGCAGACACAAGCACCCACGTGGGGCATAGGTTTGAGTTCCAGCTGTTCTACTTATGATCCAGCTCCCTGCAGACACGCCTGGGAAAGCAGAGGAGGATGGCCCGAATGCTTGGGCCTCTGTCACCTACACAAGAGACCGGAGTGGAGCTCCTGGCTAGAGGCTTTGTCCTGGTCCACACCTGGCCGCTGTGACTATCAGGGGAGTGAGTCAGCATCTGTTACTGCTCTCCTTGAGCGACAGAAGCCCACCTGCCTTGACTTTCTCAAAGGGAAGCCTACAGGGCCCGGCGCGGTGGCGCAAGTGGTTAAAGTCCTCGCCTTGCACGCCCGGGATCCCATATGGGCGCCGGTTCTATCCCGGCAGCCCCGCTTCCCTTCCAGCTCCCTGCCTGTGGCCTGGGAAGGCGGTTGAGGACAGCCCAAAGCTTTGGGACCCTGCACCCGCGTGGGAGACCCAGAAGAGGCTCCTGGCTTCGGATCGGCATAGTGTCGGCCCGTTGCGCTCACTTGGGGAGTGAATCATCGGATGGAAGATCTTCCTCTCTGTCTCTCCTCTCTGTATAGCTGCCTTTCCAATGAAAAAATAATAAAAAAAAAAAAAAAGGAAGCCTACAGTCCAATGACTGCGTGAGATGGTTACTGAGCAGCAAGTACTCCGGGTATCGGGTCTGCGCATGCTCTCCGGCAGGAGCCTCCTACAGCTCCCACAGCGTGAGTTCACCACACGCACCGACACCTGCTCGGAGGCGGTGCCCTTTCAGAACGCACGTGGACCTGCTCGTCCGTCAGTCCCCTTGGTTTCCCAGGTCATGATTCTCGGCCAGAGCAGAGGCACTCTCTGAGGGGCTTGCCACAGAATGACAGAAAGAGCATATTACAAAGAAACTATGTCTGGGTTTCAAAAATATTTTCCCCGAAATAAAATCTATCTTCTATCTGTTCATGAACTTTTTGAAGTACATCTATATCACAAATGAATAAGGACTGATTAATAAATAAGTCACCAGATTCAATAACTTCTCAAGCATGGTTTCCGAATTTTCCCATTGTGGCTGGCTTACCACCCTGAGGCTGTCACGCCCACAAATTTACAAATCCGATCATCCAATGCTGTTAATGGGCAAGCGGGCCTACGGCTTCATTAAGCTGGTCTGTGTTGCAGGCCATTTTGATTTCGATAGTACCATGAGTCATTGTTATAATAAACCACCTCTACTTGATTAGTTTAAAATGGGTGAGTTAAGAAGCAACAGACAGGCAATGCAGAGAAAGAAAAACTGAAGTAAGTGTTTTAAAAAAGTAAATCACGCTGCTCAAGACATACAACATACCAACCGGACTGTCAGTTTCTCATGCTAGTTAAAGGAAATAGCATCTAAATGAAAACTCAGCGAAGAAGGGAGAGGCAGACAGGAAGTAGATATACTCACATATACATATGAATATTTTAAGTAAAACAGGAGACAACTAATCCTTGCGGGACACTGGGTATTTTACTTACTGATTTTAATGCAAAACAATACGAATTTAATAAACTGACAAACAGGAAACTGAATGCCAGTCACATAAAAACAAAGTTTCACTATTAAAATACAGTGTTGATATATTCTGCTGGGTGTCAGAATTTAAAAAAAAAAAAAAAGGCAGCCAAAGCTCTTATGAATAAAGTGGTTGTAATTTGATGGTTCTAAAAAAAAATCTTATTTCCTTCTACAGTGGTTAAAAATAGAGTGAAAAGTAGGAGAGTAGCTGAAGGTGTGTCTGGAAACCTAGCTGGGGGCCGCTCTCTCGCTGTCTCCAACTCGGGCTGAGGGTCACAGACTCGCTCCCGGGCGGGAAGGGCCAGATTCAATGTGGTGGGAAGGCAAGCTACCCTTCGGGAAGACCTGCTTCCTTTCTATTTCTTAATGTTCCTACATACACACCTAATAGGAAATATGCCCACTTTAAAAACAAAATCTTTATCTGGGGTGCATATTTAGCCTAACAGTGAAGATGACAGACGGCTGGGATGCTGTGTCCCAGACTGGAATCCCCACGCCGGATGTCCACTTCCAGCTCCTGACCCCAGCTGCCTGCTCCCCAGGACACTCGGAGGCAGCGGTGATGCCTCAAGAAGTTGAGTGTCTGCCACCCCCAAGGGAGACCTAGACAGAGGTCCCAGCTCCCCACTGGCTTTTTTGGTTTAGTCAGAGGATGTACATCCTGTCATTTGTCTCTCTCAGTATGCACCTCTCAAATAAAACCATGTAAATATTTAAAAATAAACCTTTCTATAAAACTTTCTGCCAACCAGCATTCTCTGTCCTTTATATAAGGAGATATTTTAGTGCTTACTGTCTGAGTCCCGTGGGAAAAGCATCGGGCAGGTACCCCAAGGCTTGCACGCAGCTGGCCGCCCCAACAGCCGAGCTTACAGCTGCACTCAAGCCATCCTTGGCTCTCTGAGACCAGATCATACGTATGCAAGGAAAACTCTGTCACACACATATTTTGTTCGGAGAAATTTGGAACATTCAAAAAGCAGCTTTTTGTAAGCTGAAGCAAATTGCTTTGTGTGATTGAAGTCACATTTTAAAGTTAGGTTCCATCTGAAGACATAAAAGATAAAGTGCAATCAACACTCAGATTTTGCTGAATGCTGTAACTACTTCCATTTTTCTTTTAAAAAAAAAAGATGTATTTATTTTGATTGGAAAGGCAGATTTGCAGAGAGAAGGAGAGACAGAGAGAAGGTTCACTACCCAAGTGGCCACAATGGCTGGAGGTGAGCCAATCCAAAGCTGGGAGCCAGGAGCCTCTTCTGGGTCTCCCATGTGG